AAGAAAACGTGATATAAATCTCAAACTTTGGACTAATCGTGCTCTCGTGAAGAAAATATTCCTTAAAAATAAATTAAATAAAAAATACACTAAGCATCCCAAAAATCTCAAGCTTCGTTCGCGGTATGTGAAACTTTGCAAAGAAACAAATAAAGAGATTCGAATACGGCGAGATTCTTATTTTCGTAAGTAGATACTTATACGCTTGACAAGGCAATACTAAAAAAGGATGGCAAGTCATAAATAGTCTGATCAACCGAGGCTCAGAAGAAAGTTCTGCCGTAGTTACCCTGCGAAGGGGCAATACTGAAATTGTGGAACCCACAGCTGTCGCGAATGATTTTAATGCCCTTTTAAACTTTAGTTATTTTATTTATAAAGAGATGGACTGTAAGAAAAGTTGTGGTGCTTTATTTTTCGATATTACCAAGGCGTTTGATATGATCGATAGACAGATTATTGCAGATAAGATATACTCCTTGGGTTTTCGGGGGTTCTCTCACAGTTGGTTCCAGTCTTATTTATCGAATAGAACTCAAAAAGTCAATATATCTGGCACCCTTAGTGGCAATAAGATAATTCACCGAGGTGTCCCACAAGGCTCGGTTCTTGGCCCTATACTGTTTATAATCTACATAAACTTCATTTTCTCCTTACCTTTCGTGGGGAAGGTTACAGCTTTTGCAGATGACTTTGCAATCGCCTATAGCGCTTCAAATAACTTCGAGCACTAGGGATAAATCATGATGTACACCTATTGAGGAGTTTGTTTGCAGATCATAAACTGATCGTTAGTAGCAAAACAAAGCTCACTTTTTTTTAGCTCAACGGTAAAAGAACCACCAAATTCAGGCATTATATTTCATTCTACGGATTGTAGGAAACACTGCAAAGCACTGCAAAGATGCAGTGAAAATTGTTTTAAAATTGAGGTAGTGGATAACTTTGAATATCTTGGTGTTGTGGTTGACAGCCATCTCAGCTGGTCAGAGCACAATCTGTCTCTGAAACAGTACTTTCTTTCAATTGTTCGCTACTTTTATCGTCTTCGAAAATATAGTTCTAACTCCACGCTACAAATGGTCTACTACGCTCTATTTCATTCCAAACTGCAATATGGTATTAGCTGCTGGGGAGGTGCCACTGCATACAAATTAACACCTCTTTTGATCTTGCAGAAGAATATTATTAGAAAAATATTCAATGCAAATTCTCGTGAGCATTCTATTGAATTTTTGAGAACGCTTAAAATTGCTCCGATGCGACATTTATACTTTTACAAGGTATTAAAAATATTTTTCGTAAGATCTGGCTACATACAAAGTCATGCTTCTAATAATTATTACTTGAGACGCAATATCCAAACTGTTGCTTCTATTCCTGCCATAAAGACAACACATTATCGCAATTTCTCCACTTTTGTATCTTGTAAGTTATTTAACAGCCTTCCTCCTAATATAAACCATAAAAAACCTACGTGAATTTTTGAAGGAAGTGAAAGCATTTTTACTAAATTTTAATCACCATGAGGTCGAAATTTTGCTTAAACCAGTCATTTAATAAATTTTCGGTTAACCATGAGACGTGTCGTTTTTGTTTATGTCGTTGACCCCTTATGGTCAGGTGGCGACACTTCCCGGTCATGTCGGTCTTTGCTTAGACTTTTGGCCCGTACTGGTCAATGTGTGAGCCCTTACGGTCAGCTCGGTCACTTTCATGTCTGGGTTTTACTCTCCAACAATCCTTTATGGTTAATTTCAATACCTCAGCAAGACATTGATTTTCATATAAACAGTTATTTATTACACCGTGCGACAAAAACCAAAAATTTTTAAAACACGAAAAAATCAAAATATTCTCGTCAGGATTTTTTTTAAAGTACTTTGAACTTTCTGGGATATGATTGAATAAAAAAAATTATTTAAAAGATTTGATGCCTGGTAGAGTAACAATATGGGTATCAATTAGAAGGAAAAATTCTGTAGAATTAAAAAAGAAATAATTTTTTGAAATGTAACATTTTTTTATCTAAAACTAATAAAGTTAGAAGGACGAAATTCATGGATGTGGTAGTTAACATACATTTTTTTCAAAAATAAATATTGGAAATTTCCAAGGATATTCAAGGATAAAGTTATAAAAGGACATTTTCAATACTTATTCGTCCTGGTGCACCCAAAAATTATTTTTTTTCTATTCTACAGAATTTTTCCTTTTAATTGATACCCATATTCTTATTCTACAATGCACCGAAGCTTTTGAATAATTTTTTTATTCAATCATATTCTAGAAATTTCAAAGTCCTTTTAAAAAAAATCCTGACGTCAGAGAGAAAAACTTAAAACGCAGTTTTACTATATTTGGCCCGCTGCTTTGTGAATATATTGCTTTCTTCGTGTGTAAAATTGGGAATATTTTGGTTATTTTTTTTATAAAAATATAATTCATTCTTTAACAAAACCCGTGTAAATCCAAGTTTAAAACTTTGTGCAATATATTAAAAAAAAAAATCAACAAACTATCGTAAAAAATTCTAACTTTTTTAATTAGATTTCTTAGAAAGATTCTGAGTATACAGTTGTATAGCCCATTGAATTCTAGTAGAACAAAGTACAAGTTTCAAATGGCTAAGCATTACGGTGGATTTTTTAGAATTTTTTTGTCCAGGATGTTTCGGTTTTCTTCCATATAAAAATAAATTGTATGTATTCGTTATATGGAAGCAAACGGGCAAAAAAAAAAATCTAAAAAATCAACCATAGGTTTTAGCCATTTGAAACTTGTACTTTGTTCCACTAGAATTCAATGGGCTACAAAACTGCATACTCAGAATCTTTCTAGGAAATCTAAAAAAGTTAGAAATTTTTACGGAAGTTTGCTGAATTTTTTATAAATATTGCACAAAGTTTGAAACTTGGATTTATACGGGTTTTGTTAAAGAATTAACTATATTTTTATAAAAAAAAAAAAATAATATGTTAAAACTTCTCAAAATGTGGTGCGGCTATAATTATTTCGACCACAGTATATGTACAATGTCTTCACCTGGGGCCTATTTCATAAAAGTGACAGGTGCGAAAATTGTCGATTTTTCTATAAAATTTCACTGCGAGAATTGTTGGCGACATTTTTCCTGTTTCATATAAGTTTGTAGGCAACTGTGAAAATATTTGGAAAACGACAGTGTTAATATGGAATATTGTAGACAATTGTGCTGAAAATTGTCACTCTGACAAAATTGTCGCGACAATTGCGACAAAACCAAATAGCTCCGTCGGAAAGCTTTCACAGGAGAGTTTTGTAAAGCCGATGCGCTAAAGTCAAAATTAAAATCATGTTGAACCCATAGTCAGGGTTGCCGTTTTGGGCTTTTCCTACCAAAATTGATAGATTTTTTCTCGTTGGTAGGATGGTATGACGTTTAAAAGTTTAGTAGGTTTCTATGCTCATAAAACAGAAAACGTGTCTGGTTTGTTGTAGTGTGTAACTTTGTTAGCACTGTGAAAAGGCCTGCAAAATTGAGACAATCAAAGAGTATTCTGCAATTCACTTCCGAGTGAATTTCAAACCCCTGCCAATTAGAATATAAAGCGCATTTGACTCAAATTCACTGGGAAGTGAATTATAGAATTTTACCAATTACCTTCGGCAATTCTCTGAACGCCTTACACGTTATAAAAAGTTGTATTATAGATTGAATATTAGATTGAATTAAAATTCAGTTGCGAATCGGTAATAGTTTCAACAATGACAAGGTTGTTAAAATATTTTAAATTACACTTGAAGAACGATTCAAATGCGTATTACATAATAAATGTCCGTGTCTACAGAATATTTTATTCTTTATCATACACGAAAGTTAAAAAGAAAACTAACAATAAGTGTTAGTCATATTTCTAGTAAATCGGAGAATCTCGACAGTTTTTAACCGCAACTCGAAGAAAGGCAAAGCCGCAGCGCCCAACTTCTACGCCAAGCCCGGAGGCTCGTAGTTAGCCCCTGACATTTTGCAAGCCTAACCGTGAGGTTTATTTTTACCTTATTTATGTATATATACTTCATAATTTATGTATGCAAATGAGCGATGTATAAAAAATCTACAATGGAATTTTATTTTCTGTTCCGATTTCTCACGTCATTTACTCCGAAGTCTTTATTAAAACTAAAAACTATGCGAATTTTTCGACATTTTTATTGGTTTTACGCCATTTACTTGAAATTTTGAGGAAGTAGAAGTGAAACGCACCTCAGATTCGGATTCAGCTGGTCGAAATACATGTCGATAGGTGGGTCTAGTTAAAAGCACACACCACTATTACCACCACGCTAAACTATTTATGTATGTATATAATAGCTATTATTTTGATCTTTTTGTTTACCTGGAAATCTTATTTTAAGTATGAAAACCGGCAAAAGGCAATGTATTTAATGCTGTCAAACGCCGTTTTCTCGATTAAAAGAAATGGTAGGAAAGAAGCCATTTTGGAAGGTTTTTTAACCAGCTCTTGGTAGGAAAGAAAGTTTTTCAGTGGTAACCCTGCCCATAGTTCTTACAGCTCCTAAAGTTAGCACTTCATTAAATTGGAGGAAATTGGGAGTTTGGGTTTATATAATTTTTATGCCATATCTTGGAAAAATATGCTCTGATTGTTATAGTTTGTTTCAAATCAAAGCAAATGCTTATGGCTAAACATTTCAGTTTACGATAAGAAAAATACAAATTACAAAAAACACCTGGGTATGAATCACGTATGACGACAATCGTCTGGACGATATCGTGCTGAGATTGTTTTGTTTCATGAAAACCAAAAATTGTTCGATCGTTTGTGCGATATCGTCCACTCAATTCCAGTTTTGCTTCACGTAACAGTAACAGTAGCACGTAACAGCAAAACAAATGCATGAATCAGTGTTTTGACGACATCGTTTTGTCAGTATCGTTTGAACGACAATCGTTTCAAAGTTACGTGATTCATGCCCTGTTTTTTCATTGTAAACTTGATTTTTATATGGTAGGTTTTGATAAATGTCTACCAATTCTTTTGTAGTCCAATTACCACTTGAGTTAATTTTATTTTCGCTGGGGCGAAATCATCTCATAATTAAAAAAAATGCCGTACAACTACTACTATAATACTTACCATCACTGGGACGTGGCCTAGATGGAGTTTTTACTTTAGAGGACGACGCACTTTCTTCAGTGTCGTTCGATGGAGGTGAAGGTTTAGACATTTTTGGTCGCTTCTTCCGTAACTCTGCAAAGTTGTGCTTATTCCATGAGCGGCGTTTTTTTGACCCACAATAGTAACGATATTTTCTTTTCTTCGCCAAAGACCAAATATAATCACCCGAACAATCTAGCATATGACGGTACAAATCCAAAGTACCACTGCACCTGCGGGTACACTTGGAGCATTTTGTTGAGGCTGTACCTCCATCCTTACATTTGAGATGCAATTTATCTGGTACTGTAAATAGGGAATTCGCTGACTGTATACTATTCGATGGGGAAACGGTGTTTATGTCAATTGTTGTTTTCGTGTCAGTGTCGCACTCATCTGTAGTTGTACTGTGTTTTGCACTGTAAGTATTTACCGTGCAGCTATTTAGCGTCGATTGAACGCTGTCAGAGGAATCATCATCTCCCGCGGATCCTGTTATCATTCTTTGACTCGTATCCTGCAACTCATTTTTTCTCCAACCCAATTTGCGTACAATGTGGGAACTGTTGTAACTTTCATTTCCATAATAACTAAGTGCCCGATTGGGTATGAATAAGTGACGCAGAGAGTTGCCTGCCAGTAACTCTCGCCCAACAACTTCGTAGTGAGTAGAGAGTACGTGCGAATGACGAAACATTTTATGCTCCTCTAAGGACTTCAATTTCTCGAATTTGGCTCCACAACACATACAAAGATAGCAGCGTGGCCGAGCCCATTCCCCGCTCAAAACGAGGTGCTTGCGAGGACACTGAAGCTCATGATTTGGCAAAAGTTTAAGTACGGAAAAAAACGTCTCATCAGCAAAGGATTGGCGAAGGATATTATCGGCTCCATTCTCATCGGTAGTTTGTATATACGATACTGTGCCAAATTCTTCATTTTCCATTTTTATTATAGCTTGCTCATTTTGTTCCAAAATAATATGAGGTAGTAAACGCATATCAAGAATGTAATTTAATTGTTCGTTGATGCGCAGTTTTTCTTCGCGGATGCTTCCATTAGCATAAGAATGGGTATTTAAAATGCATTGCTGAATTTCATGTTTTTGACGCATTGAAAGTTGAGTCCACATATCGAGCTTTGACAAATCGCGCAGACCCAGCGTTGGTTGTTTCATCTTCTTCACTATTTTTCCGCCTTCGTTTATTAATTTGAATTTCTTCACGCTATCCCACTTCCATTTCCATGAATGTTTTGTGTGGGGTCTGCGAATTTTTGATAAAGTTGCATCACCTCCGTATTGTTCTGCCGTTAAGAGTGTTGGAAAAGCTGTGATTGTCGAAAGACTTGTTGCGGCGTGAATCTCACTATTCAGATCATTAATACCGGCCAGAACTATAGGACTTTCAGCTAATGTACTTTGAATGGGTGGTATTTGATGTTTTACGATCGAATTGTTTGAACTTACATTAATGGCACGGCCAACATTTCCCAGAAGTTTTCCATCCAAAAAGTATAAAAGATTATTTCGTACGTTTGAAAGGACATCTCTGTAAAAGTTTTCATCGAAGACACTGGATAATATTTCCGTCCTTGTCGGCATACGAAAAACTACCTCAGCATCGCCACTTTCTCTAATCGCGTTTTTTCCAGATTTATTACGAGCTTTCACAGCTGACATATAAACAGATGGTTGATCAGTTTTCAAGATCGAATCTGACAAAATACTGTCTTTTCGCGAGCGAACGCCTTTCCTGCTATTCGGCAGTCTATTTTGGGCAAGACCTAATCTGGACAAAATGGGTTCTTCCGCACCCATTATTGTGTTGGAATTAGTGGGACTAAGATCTTCCGGGATTGCAGCTACAATGCTCATAACATTTGTATTTTTTTGTGATTTAGAACATCGTGCTTTTGAATTCCTTCCTTTTTCTCTGCTATTCTTTTCAAATTCCTCCTTTTCAAGCAATACTGTCAAATCATCTTTGTTTTTTGAACTGTCATCTTGTAAAATGGATATATCTTTATGCACACTTTGCATGTGTTGAGACAATTTTACACCGCTCTGAAAACGTTGCTCGCACCTCTTGCATCCGAAATACTTATCCGAATGGCATTCAATAAAATGAAAAAAAAGTCCACTTAAGTCTCTCGTTGACGCTTCTATTTGAAGAGTCTTAGATCGTTTGCAATATGTACATCCGGGATATTTCGCTAATGCAACACTACAAGGTTCTACTCGTTGTTTCTTTGAATCGCTAAGCGTTGACATTTGTGAATTGCGGCCACTACATCTACGATTCTTATTTTGGATATGAAACTTCTCTACATGTTTCAGCTGCATTTTATAGGACGTGAACTTTTTATCACAGTACAAACAAAGAATTCGGACACTCTCTTCCAAAGATGAAGTGCACTCGTCGAATTCCTGATGATTTGAACCAGCATTGTCATAGGCAGTTCTATTTGTTTGCTTTTCGCACCAATTTACTCTCTCTCCTAATTTCTCTTCATAAAAGTTAGTTTTCTGGTTATGTTGATTTTTTATTTCAAAGTTCAAATTATTTGTGTTAAGCTTTTCTATAAACCCCGTTAACCGATTTAGTGGCAAACTGCATACAATAGAAACAGAGGGCTGATTCACGTCCTTTTGACTGCGCGACTCGTTAAACTTTTCATCTATTTCCACACATACACCTTTCGTTTTTCTTTGACCTGTTCGTTTTAATGCTATTTTATTATCGGTGCCTGATTTCTTCCGATTTGCCTGCTCCTCAGATGCTTTGAAAATATCCGAACTACTTCGTAATCCAAAGCGAGACATCTTTGTTCGTTCACGAATTCGTTTTACTAAAAGTAAAAGCAAACATTTAATTAAAATGAAGTTTTATATAAACCAAAAATTCATGAAATTACAATTCCCGAAACCAATCGATATACAGGCATAAGCAGGACAGATGGAAGTTACCAACTGTTTAGCAGAAAAATTATTATTATTGCTCCCCAACTTAAAAACGCAAAATTTTATAGAATCATACACATGGTGAAACGAATACAGAAGGTGGCGCTGATTGTGATACCGTTAACTCTTTCTTGAAAATTTTGACAAAAGTGTGACGTCATAGCTGATTTTGTTTATTGCCTGTTTAATATACATATACCCTGCGTTCATCTAGTTAGAAACGAAATTCAAAATGATATTGTTTGCAAATTATGTTTATTTCTTTTTTTATATAATTTTCATTTAAAATATAGTTCAATCTGTAACAGAAACCACAATAATAAAAGTTTCAAAGCTTGCAGAAATTGCAAAAACAATTAATCAAACTTCAAAAAATTTTCATCAAAATTTCCAAATTTTTAATCGGAATATTTAGAAAATTTTCGGGTATGCAGTTCTGTAGCCCATTCAATTACAGTCTAAGAAAGTGCAAGTCTCAAGTCGTTAAAAATTACTGTTGGTTTTTTAGATTTTTTTTGTGGAGGTTGTTGCGCAGTTTCTTCCATATAACACTTGATCAAAATTTTTTTTATCTGAAAATTTTCCCGAAAATTTTCTAAATATGTATTCTGAATAAAAATTTGGAAAACTGCGATGACGTCATATTCACGTTACTTTCCCGAACTTCACATCAATCAAGCCAATCTTGTATTCTATCGGTCTTGATACATACAGGTAACAATTTGTAGTCCTTCTGATGATGAATAACACCAAGCAAGCTAACCATTAATAGCAAAAACTTGTTGTTCTTGATGTTGTAGCGGCTACAACAACCCCGCCCAGATCGGCTAGTCCCTCAATCGTTGGCCTCAAGCTCAACTAACGGTAGACCCAAGAAGCGTGCAGCCTCTATAGGGTATGTCCAAAGGAACAGAGGCGTTAGTTGAGTGGGGTTTAGTGGGCATGCGAAGAGATGTTTCGAGGTGTATCTTCGCATGCCGGGCACTCATTAAGCACATCCGCATCTAGTATGCAAAGGTCCGAGCCTCCCGAAGCAGACGAAGCTCTGTCTCGTCCAGGTCAGGTGGTTGTGTGCCCAGAACGGCATTCACAGGTCAGGAGTCTACTTAAGTTGAGACTGACTCCCTGTGAATGCCGCTCAAGGCCTATCGATATGTTGTCGGGTCCAGAGGTTACAAATAGCAAAAAGTAATCATAGTTGTTGTCTTTTGTATTTTAGTTTAGCTCTCTACGCTTACACATTCATATTTTTATTAGCTTATGTGCAGCGTATTTCCTCTTAAAAATTTTTGTTTCAATATTTTTTAACATGTCTTAAGTCTCTTAACAAATATGGTTTTGTCAAGGCCATAAGAAAATTGCTAATTTCGCATTTTCATGATTCCATGAACAATAACAAGCTTGCATTAATTTAAGAAATCCATATCCGACTATGTGAATAAATATGGCGATTTCCTTAAAACTATCAACCACGCCTACTTCCAATGTAACGGTAACTCACTCTCAGTAACAAATAAGTTTATTATAATTTCTTGAAAAATGGGCCCCGATTTACTAATTTATACCAAAGTTTGTACATTTGTTGACTTTGGTCCCATATAGAAAAGGTTGAACATTTTTACAATCGGACAATAACCACACTCACCTCCCATATAACGATAATTTACAGAAATACGAACACTGCGATAAATCAGTAACTGCTAAATCCAATTCACTCAAAATCGCTATTTGTAAATTAGCTGTCAGACGTGGCTCCCTGTTTACACGGGAAAGTAGACTTTCGATTTCGCATTTTGACAGCAAAATGTGTGGAAAACCGTGTTTAACCGGACATTAAGAATATCTTAGCAGTAAATGAGATTATTATAAATTTTTGGAAAATAGACATGACACTGCCCACTTATGACTACATATTTATACATATCGAGAGCTTATATTCAATACCCTCTATCTGAACTTTTCCCACAATGAGATTCTGATATAAAAATCCACCTACGACTTAACTGTCATCGGTGATATTAATGCTGACCTTGTATAACGCTTGACAGAAGAGTTTATGGCTCGATTATGTATAGCAACGCAACTATGGTTCGGTTGGCAGCTTGCAACGCAACTGAGAAGAAAATTTGTATTACGAATGGCAACTATCGGCAGTCGCTGAAAAGTTATCGATAATTGAAATTTGACAGCTCGTCAACCAGCGCAGGATTGTAAACAAGCAAAATAATCGCAAAATAATCGCAAAATAAAAGCGAAATAAAGTTATTAATATAGAGTTTTTAATAATAAGTCTTGCTACAATGGTTAGTTCAATAGAACTATTTTTTGAAGAGGAGGAGTGTACGAACGCAGCATCAATCAGGCGACATTTAAGGGATAATTCCAATCCTATAGAGCTGCGGCCGGCGCTGTAAGTAAAAGTTAGGATACGGTTTAGTTATTTGTACAATGATTTTAAGTTGTGGTGTTCAAACGCGTTACCGGAATCTAAAAACTTTAACATATACGTGAGTCAAATGATGAAATTTTAATCTACTTTTTTGTAAATTTCTATGTGGGTTCTGCGCAAAAGTACTGTGGATGGCGTAGCCGGAATTATAAGCACAAGGAATGTTGTATACCTTTGACAATAAAAGTTTGGACTGTGCTCTTTGTAATGGGTGGGGTTTTAGGTGCAACGGCCCCTCTCCCTGCACTCCACACAACAAGTTCATTGTACCAATAACTAAACATTTCCCAAAAGTTAACGCCTGGAAGACTTTTTATTGTGATTCTTTTTGTTTTCAGATTTAAAGCATATTTCCGACTTCCAAAAGAAGCTGTATTATATTTGGTAAATACATTGAGGAATGACTTTAGGCGGTATCATCGTTCAAGTGCAGTACCTCCGCTAATAAAAGTTTGCGCAGCTCTCCGATTTTTTTCAGAAGGAAGTTTTCTGAAGTCTCATGGCAATGACTTCAATTTGGGACTGGCGCAACCTACGATGTCGGTTGTTTTAAAAGAGATGCTTCACCTGATTGAGGAAAAAATTTTTAACCAATGGATTACTGAAAAAATTACCGAGGAAGAGAAATCCAGAAACAAGAACTTCTTTTACTCGAAAAGGAAATATCCTGGTGTTGTTGGATGTATAGATGGGATACATGTGCATTTAATGGGACCAAAGGAGGATGTTCGCCATTTATATATGAACAGAAAAGGATAATTTAGTTTGAATTTTTTACTGGTGAGTTATGTTATCTTGTATGGTTATTTTGTATGAAATTTCATTTTTTTTTTTTTTTTGTATATGTGCGATTACCAAATGCGGATACGGTATGTTGATGCTAGGCATCCAGGATCTACTCATGATGCTTTTATTTGGAACAATAGTGATTTAAAACAAATGGTTGCTGATGATTTTGGTCCGAACACCTGGCTTCTAGGTTGTATTTCGTTAATAATTATGAAACCTTTTGATTTAACTCTAAACTACCTAGGTGATTCTGGATTTCCATTAGAACCACATCTTTTGACCCCTTTTCGTTCAGCGGAACCTCAATCACCTGAAGCTAAATACAATACAATCCATTCTAAAGCCCGAAATGTGATAGAGCGGACAAATGGCGTCCTTAAGTCTATATTTAGATGTCTTTCTACTGAAAGGGGCCTGCACTATAAACCAGACAAAGCTGGGTCTATAATAAATGCATGTTGCGCGTTGTATAATATTGGTTTACACTATAAAGCAGACTGGGAGGAAGGTCCGACAATCTCGCAGGAAAGTTGCAAGTCCAAATGTAACCGAGAATGTTAACACCGTAGCCTCTGATATAAGATATAATGTAATGCAATGTTCAAATGAATAAAACAATCTTTTAGTTTAATAAAGTATTTCATTTTAAATTCTTTTATTAAAAGTAAACAACATATTTATTTTTTTAGCGTTCTTCATGTTTTTTTAATTTTCAGGTATGAAATCAACTCATTTTATTTCAACTTTTCATTCAGTTTTCCTTAAAACTAATATATCACATATCGACGGCTGAATGAAAGGTCGTCCTATCTCGGCAGCCAGTTCGAAAACGCCATATCTCAGAAAACTTTCCAATAACGCTCTATTTCAGAATTTGATTGAAGAACGCCCTGTTTCAGAATTCGATTCAAAAGCGCCCTATCTCAACATATTTGCATGGGTGTATTTCAACTTTTCATTCAGTATTCCTTAAAACTAATATATCACATATCGACGGTCGAATGAAAGGTCGTCCTATCTCGGCAGCCAGTTCGAAAACGCCGTATCTCAGAAAACTTTCCAATTAAGCTCTATTTCAGAATTTGATTGAAGAACGCCCTATTACAGAATTCGATTCAAAGGCCCCTATCTCAACATATTTGCATTGGGTGTAATTCAATAAAATTCTGAGATAGGGCGTTTTTCAATCAAAATCTCAGATAGGGCTTTATTGCAAACTTTTACTGAGATACGGCGTTTTCGAAAAGACTGCCGAGATAGGTCGATCTCCCACTCAGCCGTCGATAAATTATACAAAATATTTGTACCTAATTCACTTTGGTTTTAGTTAAAAATACTATATCACAACAAAAAATACATAATTCACTTTTCTTAAAAATAAAAAAAAAAATAACACAGTTCATTCAATTGATCTTAATAGTAAAAAAATAAAGGTATAAATAAAAAGCCTCAACTTAAATTGGAGATCTGTTTTTCTAAGAGCTCCAGTTTTTTTTTGTTTAATTTTTTTGTTCAAATGCTGCTCTTCAGCAAGCATCTGATGTGCTTTTTTTCAAATTATGCGCTTCCTTAAATATTTTTAATTTTTCCCTCTTCAAATCCCGTATATCTTTTAAGAGATCATTTCTCCTGGACAGCTTTCTTTCAATT